ACCTACGCAAAACTGCCTACGTAACCTTTCCTATATTATCCTATATATATATTTACACAAAACCTACATACCAAGCAGAATAGCCTATACATAAATAATGTGAGTTCCTTCTCAATCTAAATTACATTATCTAGAAAAAAAACAAAAAATCGTGGTTCAATTATTAATTAACTTATTTTTAATTATTTAAATAAATATATTTAATTAAATCTCAATAAAATAAATTTCAAATAGTTTATTCCATTTTATTCCTTTAATTTCTTTATATATTTTTGTATATCTTATATATTTTTGTATATTTTTGTATATCTTTGTATATTTTCGTATATTATTTTCGCACTATCTAAGATAGGTGTTAGTTACATTTATGCATAAATTATGTGTTATATTTACCGCACAAATTAAAAGCCAAACAAAGGTCAAGGATGATTTATGGTTTCATATTTTTCCATATTTCAGATATTTCAGATATTTCAGAGTCAAAGTGCCTCAAAGCCAAAGCAACCGCCAGAGGAAACAAGGAAACAAGGCGCAAAGCAAGACAATTCTTCATGAGGGAGAAAAATAACAAGCCCACTTTCATGAAACTTAGAGTGACACATCTTTGATGCAACCTCGCTCAAACAGCTGCAAGGTCAACATGCTTTTCATCTTCAATGAATTGAACCTTAGAATTTATATACATACTCTTATGCATGCGGATTCCCAAGCACAATACACGATCATAACCTCATGATAAAATTATATATAATTTGGTTTTGCTTCTCAAATTTTCTGAACCTTGAGTCATTATGAATCATGTGCATCTTATATAATCATTATTATATAATCTTTCAATCCAGCTGTCTTTTTCTCAGCGATTCTTTAATTTGAGGCGATTTCACTACTTCGAATCTTTGTCGGCCTCGGGCAGTCAAATTATTGGAAGACTTTGAATATATCATTGCACACTTCCAATGCAGCTGAGGGACCTCAGCATCTTCCTCCCGTTGCTCCACAGCAAAGGAGATTTACACTGATCATATTGCATCACATGACCATCTCAATGACACATACAAATCATACACACAGTGAAGACTCGACCAGGCATTCATCTTTCTTCATGGCTTTTGGAAACCCCTGGGAAGTCCAAAACTTCCGGAGGTGGCGTCTTGTCGAAGGTTTTCAGCAAATCTGACCGCTCTAAAGCATCTAAAGCTGTCCGACAAAAGAAGCCAGCACATACAGATCATACAGCGGTAAGCAGCCAGCCCTGTCCCAGTCACTCCCAGTCCTTCTTTGGAAAAGGCCCTTCGACCTGGCCTGTTAAAATGCCAATTCCATAGACCTAAAAGGCCGCTGATCTCGACACAATTTTTGGCCAGTCTGGATGCCCGGCCAAAGGATAGGACGGATATGGACGGATACCCTCTGGTAATTTAACATAGCTATTGAAAATCACCATTTATAGTGGATTTTCCCATTAAAAATTGTGATTTTCCATAGTTATGTTAGTTTACCAGAGGGTAGGATATGATACGATCAAGCCATATCAAGCCAGGGGACCAAGCCCAATCCTGCAGAGAATGGCACCGCGTAGCCCCACCAAAAGTCATTGGCGCCCAGTAGGGCCTCATGGCATGCCATGGCGATATCTTTTTTTTGGGGGGGATGGGGCACCTTCATGATCCCAACATCTCCAAAGATGTTAATGACAATACAGCCCTTTTAGGCGCACGCTGCATCTAATGGATCCATCCTTAGAAGTCAGCAGAATCAGCGGATTTTAGGAGAGTGCCAACTTGGGCCAACTGACAAAACATCAAGCAAATCAAATCGTCAAACGAAAACTGAGATGTCTGGCTGGTCGATCATTTGGTCCCGCATTTCATTCGGGTCGATGCCAGCTGCAGCATAGTAGGCCTTTTTTTCCAGCTCCAAACCAAGTGTATTTGCTGTGTGACATGATTGAATCATTCTGAGGTGTATGTTGAAGCAAGCAAGTTCCAGCAGCGTGGTCATATTATACTATATAATATATATATATATATTATATACTATATATTATATAATGTTATATAATATTATATATATAATATTATATATATATGACATGCGCATATCAAATCGTATCAAGCCATACATGACATGACATCACATGTCTGACAAACCAGTCCTACTTGCAGCAATGCCTCTGGATTGATTTCTGCATGAGCTGGAGCTGCTGCAGATATTGCCTCGCAAATGCTTCTGATCCATAGCTGGTAACAAGGATCAGCATCTAACACCTGTGACTTCTGGTTGTGACACGTTATAACGATCAAGACCCAGCCACTGTCAAGGTTTCTTCCTTGAAACCAGTCCTGGATTCCCCTTACTGGAGCAGCCTCTCCCACACCAATTGCTAGTGGCAAAGCACGGGGCGGTACCTTAGCTTTTGGACACCAGAAGGCTTACCTTGTCAAAGGAATGGAGGAACAATTGGCAGAACAACTGTGGACATGTCTCAAATACAGATGCAGTAGTAGATCTAGTCAGTCGCATATCACACACATAGGGATGTAAATACATACTCACCCACTAATGAAAATAGCCGAATTCATTAGACATCAAGTCTGATCAATGGAACCTTGGCCGGTAGAGTGCAACTGAGGGCAAAGCAAACGAGGTCGTTGAAGACAGGGCCAGGACAACCTTGAAATTGCAATTCATGCACGAACAGACTTTGGTACCAATGTCCCGCCTTTCCGCTGCCGAAGTGCAAAGTACTGTATGCCCCAATCTAATCATGTTTCAAATTTCGAATGGCACATTGAGAAATTCTTGCTCGAAAGCATAGGCCCCTGCCCGCGTAAGTTTTGACATTTCAAATTCCATCAAATTTGATCAAATTTCAAACCAATACCAACCACTATGATGAGCGAGCTGCCATGGCAATATAAAGCAATGTTGCCCGGCTCCTTCTCTGCACCATGGCACCTGCTTCACTGAACAAACATCACCAGCCGGAAGATCCTGGAGTTTTTGTTGTCTTTTAAAACTATGCTTAAAGAGTTTCCACCCAAGACTTGACAAGCCTCCCAGCGCTGTGTCAAGCCCTATGCGTCAGCAGCGGGTCCCCGTGCTGGAGCCGACAGTTTCCATCAGCAGTACAGTATGCCCCACTGGCCGAGGGCCGAAGCAACAATCCCTGGATGATTACGACACATGCGAAACGCATAGGTCCATGAAACATCACATGAAACATCATGAAAGCAGTTTCCTGCAGCAAAGCGCAAGATGAACACTGATTTTCCTAGCCACATTGATGCAAATCGCTGATGAGTTACACGTCATCTGAAGTCAATTGAGGGGTCTTGGCTAAGCCAAAACCGCTGCAGCCGCTATCAGAGAGGCACCATCAACGTCCCATTCTCAACACTCAGTGAGCTCCGCAGAATCGGCCTGATGCAAAGCCCATAGCATCACAACTCTCGACCAACATCCCAGTACTTCTCTTCGGAGCCCGGTGCTTGAGTAACCAATTTAGACACATCATGATACATCATGATACAAATAAATACGCAAACGCAGGTCACATAATAGTGATTATATAATTGTTTATAATTATATATTCAATTATCATATACATCAATATGATTCTAATATGATGGATACAAATTCTATATGAATATATGATACAATTGGTGAGTCCTTCCCATTGCAAAAGAACGGTATAATAGAATAATAATAATATATAGAGCGCTCGCATAATTCAGGAACAACATCATGACATTTCTACTGGCCTTCGGAGTCCTCGGAGACACCGGAAGCTCAGGCCTCAGGTCTCATGTCGATGTATTCCATTGATGCTGTATTTTTCAAACTTTTGTGCCATTTGGTGCATATATATTTGTATAAAATTGCATGGTAGTGTTCGTCTAGTCTCTAGATGTCTCTAGGCAACTTGCACTAAGATCACTAAGAAAACTGAGCTTGCGGGCATCATACGTCAATGTGAATCATTGTAAGGACATACCAAGGCTCAAACATAGTCATCATCTCCACTTGCTGCTTGCTCCCAGTCTGACAAGGTTCGGCCAGGCGACTCCTTTGACCCTTTCATCACTATTAAAATTATACCCCACTTTTCTGCTAGTGCCCCTGGCTTCTCCATTTGTCCTTGGCTATCTTGGCTTATAAACTCCTTGTAACTAGCAGTCATTCTGCAAAATCGATGAAACTTGATTCTAATCTGCGCTCGCCCCTTCAAAAATACGGTCCCTTTTCAAAAGCATATCACGAAAATGTTCACAATACCACCGAGTATTTCTACGTGCACTATTTGTGATTTTCATCCTATTTCCACCCCATATTCACCACGTCACCCGCACAAGTTGTTTTCGCACATCATCTCTTGAGAGAGAATGTGATCTAGTGAAACTTCTTGCGAACCCGCTGGAGCACTCAGGAGGCCACACTCACCAAGATATGGATTTCATCTGAAGTCCAAAGCTGTCCATTAAAAACCTGCTAGCATACCTGCAAAATCTGAGCAGCGCAATCTTGATTAAAAAAACAAGTTTGTACACAACTGCTCAATGGAATTGGGTCAAAACAAAACATTCGCCTGCCCGATTTCTTGCTTCAACTATTCTAACACATGTCGATTAAGTTTTATCACTTCAACATACTTCAACATCATCCTCAACCATTTTGCGTGCAGGCGTGCAAAAACATGCAAAAGCAACATATGGTCCTACTGGTGTCCTACCTGTCCTACCGACCCGGTGTCTGTACCATCAGTTTCCCAGCTTTCCGGATGGGATCCACACGCCGCCAGGGGCTGCTCTTCCGATACTGTGCCACAGGTCGATCCATCTGCCGCTGCTCGCGGAGCTCCCGAGGCATGGACTGAACGCCATAGGCCCGCAGCAAGCCCCGGGAGGCCACACCTGGTGGCGGACTTCGTGCGTCCCTGGGATTCCCATCGGTGCGACGGGTTCGCAGGGATGCATCACTGGTGAGGTGGGAGGAACGCACCGGTGGAGGCGACCGATGCTCGGCCACGTGTGGGGCCTGGGGCACCGGGCGATGCACTGGTGCAGGGGCGACACCATGAGCTGCCAGGCTGGTGAACTGACGGGTGGTTGGCTTGTGAGCCGATGGGCCGGGGGGTGGGATGGCCTGTGATACTGGCGGTGGAGGAGGTTGGGGCTGGACACGCAGTCCTCAGCTTCCAAACTCTGGCTCAAAGAGTGTTTCCAGAGATATCCTTCAAATGCATCTCCCTGCCATGAAAACATATGCAAGGTAAGATAAGTGAGCAAAACTTCCTAAATCAGTTTCACTGTCCAAAATCATCCAAAATCCAGACATGCATCTTGACACTTCGCCACCTTCTTCCTGCAGGATTGCCAAGCCCTTGATCTGAGAAGCCAGAGGCAATTCCAGGGCCTTCCAGTTGATAGCCTTATCCTTAGCTGATAGTATTCCAATCCAGGAATATTCCATAATATTCCACCATGTCTTGATGCATATGATGTCCCTTTTGCTCCAAGTGACGCTCTTTGCGATCGCAACACCGACCTCCGAAATGTCCTGTGAAGAGCCAGGAACTGCACATCATCGTTTCCAAGAAAAAACAAAACATGAAAGAACATGTAATTTCCAATCATTTGTATATAGCTATCCCAACAATGGTCCTATAAGCATCACAATAGTTACCCCAATACTAATCCCATAGTCATCCTAACAAACATCCCATTGTTGATTCAATTTGATTTAGTTGTCCCAATTATCAAAATATATCATAATTGGTTCCGGCCCTTAGGTTACCCGGGATCATCATGAATTCCAAGATCTATTGCATAGGCAAATGTCTATTTTATATGGTTTTTCCAATGTTTTTGGTGTTTCTGAAGATGTGAACTCATCATTTGTTGATCATGGGGCGGGCGGACATTTTTGAAAAATGTTCGTCGATGATAAGAATCAATTGAACAAAATGTGTTGTTGTTTAAAGATGGAAGAAGCAAATTCCGTGGAAGGGTTGTGGATTTTGTCAAGTGCCCGTACATAGTCATTAAAATGAGGATGCAAACCCCTGCGAACGCCAAGGAAAATGGAGATCCATTACAATTCATTGCAAATACCAATACAATCTGTGTTTTGCACAGCGGCCCAAAAGCTGATAGTCACCTTTTTTCGGGCTTTCCACTGCGTTCACAAGTTCCACAAAGGTTTCTGGAAACATTGCGATGGACTTGTTAATCCATTGGGCGCTTTTTGCCTATGTGCAGCTAGAGCTCGAAGAGCGCGTTCCATGGAATGGCGTAGCATCAAGAGCGTGTTGGATGTTGCAAGATATCGACGAACGTTACCAACGTCGTGGACAGGACGTTATCACACCCCCCCACCCCCCCCGAAACCCAAACCCCCCCCAACCAACGTGCCGTCGAACAGATCAGCCGAGAGACATGAAGCACTTCCCAAAGATGCGCGCACGTCAGCCGAAACGTCGGCCACAGATCACAGCCGCTGCAGCGAAGTAACCATGATATGGAAAGAGATACGTACAAAGCGAGGACTACGGCGTCCATCTGAGACAAAACAAGGCCAACGTGCAATGATCAGCCTCAGTGACGCAGTTGTTTGCTCGGGGAACCCCAGGGCTGGCGGGTCATAATTATACTCCCATGATTCACCAATTATTCTTGAGTTTACCATATTCTCTTCAAACTCCAATGCTTAGCCGGTCGCTGTGTGGCGGCGTCCTCAGTTGAGCTCTTCCTGCTTTCCCGCTGCCGCAGTGGCCGCGTGTCCCAATTCGCAAATTCCTCCGGATCCTGTCCAACAAGGTGATTTTTCAGGTTAGAGACGGAAAGACAGAACGCAACTCTCTCGAATAATCAATTTCAGCAGATTCCTCATGATTCCTGTTATATCTTTGTGGCATGTTAGCATATAGTGCTAACTAGACAAAGCGAAACAAAGCGTGATCTCACCTCCAATCAAACAAAGATATCATATTTCTTTTTTACCATTTTTTAATATTAAATAAAACATATTAAAACATGTTAAATCAGCCAATCAGCCATGGTCATGACCAGGCCTTGGCCGCCGGCGCCCATGCCTGCATCACCCGCAAGGGCCCATGCTCTTGCACAGGCACCTCTGCTGTGCCCAACAGGAATGCGCGATCATCTAACCTTGGCCCAAATGCACCATGGAAACATACGGAAACCACTGAAATCAGTTGGGAATCCATGGGGGAAAAAACTGAAAGCATCGATTTCAATTTCTATTTCATGTTAAATCATGTTGAAGTTGCTGATGGAACATGATTTCAACCATTGATAAGGAATGATATGGAATGAATGATCTTTTTAACACAATGCTAGATCCCAATTTTCGGAAGAAGTACTGAGCTCGCTGACTTGGCGACAAACTTCAGCCAAAAGCCGGCTGCGTAAGTTGTCCACACACCACAGTAGCGGCCAACCATCATTTCATGTCATTCGGGCTCATGAGTGAGTATTCGTGTTATTAGTTATTAGTGAGTACTCCAGAATATTCCAGAATATCTGATATATCTTAGATGTTCCGGTGCATCGCATATGTTTACCCGTTCCTTCAAGTCAGCTCTAGTTGCAGTTCACCCAGTGCTTCGAGGCACAACTCTTGGTGTTCTTCCGGCAAACGAGCTCGCTGCGCCAAGAGATGATCGTTGCGCAAACGCAGCTGTTCTCTCAGCATGGCAATCCTCAGCAAGGAGTGCTTGGCTTAGACCCAAAAAAAAATGTGCTCATTGAACATGTTTTTGATTGTTCGCACAGGAAAATAGCAATACTTTCATGTCTCCAACTTTTCTTGTTTTTGGCGGGGTGCTATACCAACACCAACCATTTGATGTTGAGCCCAATGAGCCCACCAATCTGGAGTCAAGCTGCTCGTCATCGCTATTCACCAGTTGGCGCCGATGGATTTCCCAGAAGTGTTCCAACTCCAATCGTTCAAACTCCAAAACCTGTGACAATGGAAGTGTGTGAAAGTCTGAAACCATTGAAAACAGACCAGCACACAAGCCTAGATATCCAGTGGACATCCAGTCTCCAACTACAAAGTAATACAATATATATATATATATTATATACAGTTATATATAATATATAGTTATATATTATATATTATGTATATATATATATATCGATGTATATATATATATCATATATATATATATCATATATATATATATATACATATCGATGTATATATATATGAGGGTTTCCTGAAATAGGGGTACCCCTAAATCATCCAGTTTAATAGGATTTTCCCTGATAAACCATCCATTTTGGGTACCCCCATTTATGGAACCCCCCATATATTGCGCCCATATTGCACTCAAAATGGAACATACACATGAATATACTGTACAAGGATGTACAAGGGCAATCAAACTTACAAACTATAGCAGCCACCAACAACAGGATACACTTGAAGCATAGCCATTCCGACCTGCAAATTCAACAGCATCCAGACTTCAAAGCCAAGCACCAAAATCTTTAAGCGCTGGCTTTTAAATCCCAATTTATTGAACCTGATTCAAGATGCTGCAACGCCAAGTGGTCGCTCTGCCATGGTTTCCCCCCATGTCCCACATCACTACAAACAGCTCTGACCTTCACTCTTTGAATAAGCTCCAGAAAGGCCCGCAAGTCCTGCAAAAACAACTCCCATGTCTCTTATTATTGCTGTACAAATGGATCTACGCGCACTACAACGTCACCTTACACACAGAAACTTGTTGTCAAACCATGTCAAACGTCCTCATTCAGGACTCTACGAGGTAGCTGTTCTTGGAGCTCTTTGCCTGCCAATTCACTTGGGCCCGGAAACAGTTGGAGCATGACATCAGGAAACAAATATGAATCCAAATGCACGCTGGCAAATGGTTCTGGATGTCACTGGGCTTCTTTCTCTTTAGTGCATTATACCTACGTCACCTGGCATTTTGTAGCCAGATGGCATGCCGAGGCAAAGCCAGATCTTTTTGACCTGAATTAACCACAAGAGGGTGATGGATGGTGAAAAGGTATATGAGGTGAGACAAAGCCTTCAGGTTTCTGGAACAGGATGTCGGCACGCAGCACGTATTTGTTGCCAGCCAGGACCTCCATCTCTTCCTGCACTTGGCAAAATTCTCCCTGTGGATACAGCAGTGCCAGGCCAGGCTCCGGTTCGAAGACGACCGGCTTGGGCCGATAGGCCACGTGGAAAGCGCTCAAGCCGCCCTCGAAGTCCTTGTCGTTGGTTCCGTTCAGGAACACTCGCAGGGAGTACTTGGAAACTCGTCCATCTGCCCGTGTCACTGGCTGATCCGTGTGACGACCGAACAAGCCACCGGGACCAAACTTTTGGATCCGGACCACGTCATTGAGGCCACAGGCAACCTCACCATCTATGGTCAAGTTGCGCAGGAACCATTGAAGACCACAGATCTGCCATAGAGCTTCTGAAAAGAAAGGATCAATGAGATCTGTCCACATCATATTCAGAACTCGATGTCTGTTTTGTAGGCTGAAACCTTGAGCCTCCGCGAAGTCAATGATCTTTCTGCACTCGCCAGGTGACATGAAATTTGGAATTCCGACACAGTCAACGCTCTGGAAGTACATGGGTTCCGGATACTTTTGCTCGGCAAAGATGTTGCTCAGCATGGACCCAGTGTTGCGCACCATTCTCAGCTGCGCCGCCTTCTTTTTGGCCTTCTCCTTTTTTGGGAACTTGATCTCCATATCGATTCGCAAGCTGTCCTTGGTGAAATGGGCCTTCATTGGCATCGCTTGGGCTGACAGATCCTCAGTGCTGCCCTGCTCTCGGACCACTAGGTGACCATCTGGCATGGTCAAGAGATCGGGGTGAGATGGAACGGCCATACTCGCCATACTTCCGGGACGGGGGCCGTTGAACCATTCCTGAAACAGCTTCAGTCGTAGACACAGAAAATAAAACATGCAAAATGAAAAGGGCTTCCACACTGCTTTCGGATCCATTGATGGCCTTCAAGCAACATACTGGGGCTCAGGAAACTCAAACCGCACGCGTGGCAGAAGTGCCAAGGGCACCCTCGCCTGCGTCTTTGTTTTGTTGAAGCCTTCGGGACAATGACCTTCGCGTCTCAGCATTTTCAGCCATGTTCTCTTCGACTTGGGACACCTCAAGGTGTGCTCTTTTGTGATGAGGGAACCATCATGGGCAACTTCAAGATTCCAAAAAGGCAGGCAATCCAGGCCCACAGTTGCACCACTGCCAGTTGAGACTTGAAATAATAGGCGAGATCTCCTAGTGCGCTCTCCCTTGCAAATAGAATCAATAGAAGATATATGAAGATACTAGGAGGGTGAAAAAAACACGCCAGCTGGTCGCACGGCCAAAATCACCCTGCGACCTGCAACCTCAATATCCTATCACTCAAGAGAAGGGCAAAATCCCTACCGGCACCATTCTTGCCACGCTTGCGTGCCAGGAAACCAAATCCTTCCACTCTTCCAGCGTTCTGGGTTCTGATGATCGTCTGGGTCGACTTGGCGTAGTTGCCTTGGGACTGTGGGAATGGTGGCCAAATCAATTTCTTGCTGATTAATTACACTCAATTACCATTTGCCTGATGGCTTCACCGAGTTTAGACAAGTTTAGTTCTTTCCCACCAACTCCAACTTAGTCCAAGCAGCCGGTCCTTTCTCCTGAAAACACGCAGCTTTCAAACGTGCAACGTGCTGTGTCAGACTGGCACTGGCCCGCCATCTTGTGTCGTTTTGGGGAATGAAGTCTTGGGTCCAAACTCCAAACCTGGAAAAACATATCAAAAAAACTCTTCACACCGCTTCCAGCAAATGATCTTTCACTTTTTTTCTGACATACTTCCCATGCCAACTTGCGCTTCTTTCCCGGGTTTCCAGCCCAAATACATCCCACATATCCAGCGGTTAGCCAACGAAGCCTCCCAGTAGGCGATAACCTCATTGGCCTGCAACAGCTCTGCCTTCCACTGCACCAGGGCCTTCTCTACTTCCATCAAGGATCGCTGCAGTGAAGCTCTGGCTTCCTGCCGAAATCCGACATTTCAACGACAGCCGTGGCCAACAATGATACAAAAGAAAACAAAGAACGTAGATAAATCTGTTATATATCATGTAAGATTATGTAAGAGCAAAGTGTACGATGAACATTGCTAAAGTGGTTTCGATGCTTCACTGTTTTTGACGCGTGCAGTGTGCGAATCCAAAACCTTCCATGGGCCTGTATCATTTCAATCCCAGCAAACTGGGTCAAGAAAGGTCGGAAGGACCTCAAATGACCTTCATTTCCTTCAAAAGTTGTGCCAAGGTTCCAGGTTTTTGATGATCTCCAATTTCCAATTCTCACTGGCTTCTTTGAGCTCCTTCTCATCTCCAGCTTCCTCCTCATAGGCCACAGGCTCCAGGAATGAAAAAAAAAGCCCAGACCATCGGCCACAACGGCAATGTTGCGGCAAAGCCACGAATAAACCCACTATTTGGGGATGGTTTATCCATTTCTGGTCGAATTGGGGATGGTTTACCAATTGGGTGAATTACCACATTTATCAGCCCGATATATCCCAACTATCATCCCATTATGGTTGGTTAATTGGTGGTTATATATATGATTCGCCCAATGGGCTAAGTTCACCCCAAGTGTCATCCCATAGCATCCCATCAAAATATAATATATTCACCTGAGATCATTAATCCGTTACAGTCACTATATATAGAATTTATAATATTCTGTATATATATAACATATAGTTGGTTATATATATATATATGCACATATAATATATATATATATAATTATATAATTATATATACATTGTATAAATATATACATTTATAGTCTATAGTCATGTATTTATCCAAGTATAATCCCATTAATGGATCTTTATCATCCCACACCGCCCGCTACCTCGATGTCTGGCAGGGATTTTGATTCCGCTCGCTTCACCAGCTTCGCTTTCAGAAGCGCCGCCTGGCAGCCCGCATCATGGTGCCCCGATGACGGTAGTACGTGAGAAACAACCCCGGATCATGTATTTACAGTAATTATATATCGATTTATTATTCTTAATTACTATATTATCATATTCATGTATGATTGTAACCTCATGATTTGATATTAGATGGATTGAATTTCCAATATATAGTTATCTATACCCCATTGGTCACCATTGTAATCCATTATTTACACGAATATGATCATCTGACCTTGCCCTCTTTCAAGCCTTCCAAACCCAATCCCTCTGCTGGAACAATCTGCCAATTTCGAACATCACATCTCCTGCGGGATGATCCCGAGCCCACAAGCCTCTTGACGAAGGTCTGCTATGGCGTGGGTGTACTGTCCTTAGAAAAGAGATATGAGGTTGCACAACCTTGCAAAACATGCCCCAGGTCAACTAAATGACAGCAAGGGTTAAGCACCCATTTGTTCTGCGTCCAAGTTTCTAACATGATCGTCTGGCTGGATCAGTTGTTGTGAGGCACTGACCCTGATGTTTTTTGCTCTGTTGGCATATTTCAGTGTGTTCAGCGTGTCTTCATAGCTTAAATGGCTTGGCGAGATGTTGGCGATCATCACCTGGAACGTCCGGACACTGCACAATCCATCAGCATGCACAGAGCTCATCATGTGTCTACCAGCGGCAAAAACCAGTGACAAATCACAACACAAACGCGGAGCCCTGACATGCCCTGACACCAAGTCACTGTGCGGCAGTTGCCACCCAGGGAATCCTTGAGAAGTCGAGTCAGCTTCGAGTCTCGGAAGGGAACAAAGGCGGAGCCCGAGGCTAAGGCATTGATACAGTTGCCCAACGCCAACAGGGATCGATTGATATTGGCCCCTTCCAAGAGCCGCATGCCGCTGTTGTGTGTTTGTGAGGCCCGTTCGGAGCCTGCCAAATCAATCAAAGATAACTTGCCCAGGGTCGTAGCTTCGCGATCGCGACGTTCCACACGCACTTGGAAAACGGCGTGGGAACGTGACGATGTGACGTTCATGACCGTAGGCTCGGTGGTTCGACGCTGGTTTCCTCCCTGGAGTAATTTCATGACGTCTTCCACAGACTGAGCCTGGCAAAGGAAGCAATGAGGACATCACTAAAACTGAGTGAAAGTCTCCATGGCCCTGATAACGTAGAATCCACATACTAAAGTAAGTCAACCAGACCAATGGATTCTGGGATCTCACTTTTTAGTATGTTAAAAATACTATGCCTGTTAGATCTGTTAGACACCTTCCATTCATAAACACGAAAGCTTGCACCCGACAATGTCCACTACGCTACTCTCTTCAGTGGTTAGAATCGAGTTTCTCTCCAGAAGCAAAAGGAGCCCACATATCAAGGCCGCAGCTGACGTCTCCCGCCTGCAATTCGGTAACGCCGGTGAGAGAAGGTCCTGGTGCTGTGGAGATCAGTGGCGGATGCTACAGCTGCTACAGGCCGCATGGTCAGCTTCAAGCCCCTGATAGCTACTGGATTTCCACTGTACTACTGTCTGATATACTTTCATATGAAATATCCTTTTTCACAAATCGTATCATTTGCATTTGCAATTCTCAAAATTCTTTTTCAATGGCGCCTGTTCCTGATCCAAAGTCAACCAAATCCAACAGTCACTGGCATCATCATGCCCTGCCTGTGACTGGATCTTCTCTAAGGTCCAGCATTCCTTCCCTTCCGTCTTGGGAGCCCAAATCCCGCAGCACTTCATTGTAGACTTCAACGAAACAACCTGCAACGAAGCAGGAGACTCTAGATGACACTAGACCAAAACAAATAATGTCATAATTTATAATTCCATAATTTATATTAATCTAATCTATCAGATCTATCATTATTTCCGGGATGCACTGTGGCAACATCGTGCAGTTCAGATAAACTCTTCACTCTGCAACTGCCCTACTGTTCTGCGCAATTGACTTTCCAGACCTGATTGCGCATCCTGCATGTTCGTGTAAAACATATGCAGTAAGCAAAATTAAGGAAATAGAGCTGCTGTGCAATCCTCCTTTCTTTCACCGTTTAAGGAACGTCCAATGAAAGCATCCCTTGTGAGGTCTCCTTGCCCAATATCTTTCATGATCATCATCCCGCAGAATCTTTAGGACCACTATCCACTGGGTGGCTGCCGACAAGTCGCAAACAACTGACACAGATGGATCTGACGCGAATTCAGCGAACAAGCAGTCGACAGTGCGCGACATGACCCCTGGCTCCTGCTCGGTACCAATCCTGGAAAGGCGCCATTCCCCAGCTCCATTCGAAGTGTAAGCTGCAATTTACATCCATGGCTGTAGAAAACATACACATCAATTTAAATACAGACCATGCCATGACCATGCATCTCTAAAGGTATATATATATATGTTATACATTTATATGTATATGATATGTGTCCCAGTTACACAATATAATATTATATTGTGTGACTGGGACCGGGTGTGCATGTATATATATATATATATATGTGTATATGCGTGTGTGTGTGTGTGTGTTCATATATTCCGCATATGTAGTTTTGCGATTAAACAGGTATTAAAACTTGTCATACATATGTGTCAGCGCGCGCTCATCTCAGTGGGTTTGATCATTCTTTGCTCGACCAAGGATCATGGTGAAGGTCTTTCCAGCACCGGTCGAGCCATAGGCAAAGACGCTACAATTGAAACCTTCGTAGGCACGTTCTCAATTGAGGTTGTCCAGAAATGAAGTATACACCAAAATGACAATTTTACATCATTTTACATCATTTTACTAGGTTTTACTGGTGGGAAATCATGGATTTGGGGGTAATTTATGGTAAGTCCCCTATTTTTCCACAACCCCAACTGTGGTGTCGGATATCACCCTGTGGCACATCACATCGACCTGGAAAACAACTAAGCACTGCACCTTGAACCAGCCTACCTGCCCAGCTGCAGCAAGGGACAAACTGAGAAAGGCACACGGTTGGCATCTGTCCTATATCCAATGGCACATACGGATATAGTTATTGGATGTTATTGCTTGGCAGTTGATACTGGATATTTTAAGTCTTTTTTAAGTCTTGGAACTATATCTAAACTCAGTAAGAACGCATCGTCGATGTATGTTGATATAATGGGCCTGGAAGGCCCCGCATCCTGCTAGTTCTAGCCAGTCCGGCCGCCTATCAGTGGCTGAGTCGTCGCTTCGAAAAGTCTCTGATTGCCAGTCTCTGCATCGAATGCTTGGTCGAAAGCAAAACGCTTCTCCTGAATCAGCTGGCAGAGCTCAGAAATAGAATGAGGGATGGGATGCAAACCCATCCGTTCTCTTATTGATCTCATTATTATAGTTGTTTTGTTTCACAGATTCAATCCCTTCCTCCCAGGAGATGCAACAACCGGCGATGACCTTTCTGAAAGACAGCAAGGTCATCAGATCCAGGTCTTATCCCAAATCCTCAGCAGATTTTGTCCTTGGACTTGTCATGTCGCAAGTAGTCATTGGATGCCTCAGCCGCTCCAACAGCTTCCTCTTGGATGTTGGACCTCTGAAGATCATGTCGACCTGACGATGACCATGATGTCTTACTGAGTCTTGTGGCCTTCAAGGGACACAAGGGGACAGGAACATACCAATCATACCATAGCAATATATACCAATGCTACCCAGCAACTGCACCAGGGTCCAACAAAATGACCAAACGCTGGTCCATGACCTCAGCAGCAGCGAAAAAGACCATGACCCAACATCTAAGCGGCTTCGGTAGGGAGCTGGTTGAAAAATGACATGATGTTGAAATATTGAAATATGATGCCCTGCCCAAGGCATCTCAAGACCAGTTTCCATTTTTCTGAGCTGATCTGAAGGATATGGATATGGATGGGTGCTCTTCATATCCAGATGTTGAAGGCCAAGAGGCTCTACAAATGTCGAAAACCTCATTGTTCCTCTCGCTAACGGACAGCCTCGGCAAGCTGGGAAAATTCGGTAAGACCTCCAAGTGAAAAGTCGTGAAATTCCATGAAATTCCCAAGAAGAGAAACATGCCACCTATGAATATCATACCAAAGATATGAGATTATATGAATTTAAAATATTTTATGTGAATCTTTTGGCACAGAAGTGTCGGGAGACAGGCAGGGAGGTCCAGGTACCTCAACCCGCTGCGACACTTCACTTGTAGCTCAAGTAGAGGGAAATAATTCAAACACTGGGAGACAAAGTTGACATCATAGGCCCTATAGGCCCAAGCCAGAAATCCGCAGGCGTTCGGAAAGAGAATCGGAGCCAAGGCACGGCCTGCAGCGCACTGCCACACCTCAGCAATGGACACTGAAAGCGGCACGTCACGTGCAGTTGAGAAAAGTACTGCACACGAGCAACAGAGAATCATAATGAACATGGTGGAATAAAAATGAATCACAATGAACGTCCTCCACTGTTTAAAATACAGTAATATATAATAGTGTATATATATATTATATATTATTGTCCCATTTTAATATATTTTAATGGTCATTTGAATTCATTTGTAGGCGCGTCCCATAGATTTCCCATTGCCATCTTTGATTACCGGAGGGTAATAGCTGCAAAACCTATCGAAGCTTGAAAGCCGTGGAAGATGTGGAAGACTCTTGCGAAAAAACACAGGGCATGAGATGCCGACTGATGCGGCTACATTCATCTTCACCGGCTCCAGTGCTAGACATGGAGCACCTCCTTGGAATGCGGCCGCAAAGCGCTGTCAATGTCCAAGTTCCAAGCGCTATGGGGCAACAGAAAAAGTATTGAATGACTTGGAATATCATATATATAACCGAACCATCAATTTCTGAACAAAATCACAAAAACGCGCAGTAGTTGGGATTCGTTCTAAGTTCTAACAAACTGACCTCCCACATTTTGCGCGATTCAAGCACCGCCGAGCGACTTCACGACCAAGCGCTGGCCGTATTCTGCTCAGCAACGACATCGCTAACATCGCTGCTGGTCAACACGGCATGGTTTGGACAACCCAACATGAAACAGCACCAAAGTAGCTCAGATTACACAGAGATAAAGGTGATGCCTTGACTGTGTTTGCTGTCATTCTTATGTTGGTCTTGTAATTGTAATTGTGATAATTTGACATGTGGAAAGAGTGTCAGTGGGAGTGCGCTTCTGTATCTTCTGTGTTGAATAGGTGGGGTCAGAAAATGGGTCGAGCTTGGGCTTAGACTATCATGGAGCTGATCCAGAAAGTGGCTATTTAATGCTATTTATCTATTTTCCGCAAGCGGTGTGGGATCTGACTGAGCTGTGCCAAGGTCCGGCTGTCGGGCTCCTGTGTGGCCAGCAGTTGTGAGAAGCCTTTTCTCTGAGAAAACGGCGGCAGGGGACGGCCGCAGCTTGCAAGATAGGCGTCCCAAGTACCAAGCCACGTGTCCATTAAAACAGGACTGCAATCAATTTGTGTTCAATGCTTCTGGTTCAAAGGAATGAATTTCGCATCGTCTCCAACCAATATTTGAAGAACACGAGCTCCACAGCCTGGGTTCTGAGCATTCTTTGCACCTCGCAGCTGGCTATTGCTCGGATACAGCTTGCAATAGCTTGCAATAGCTTGCAAAGGCGGATGAATGAGTTGATTCTTCCCACCAGTCGTCACTTAAGAATGCAATCGAATGCCAAACAGGTTCCTTAGACTCGTGCCAAAGCGAGCTTCATGCTATTCCCTATGGTAGATAGCAGCGCGGCCAACCTTAGAAAATGTTGGGAAAATGGAGAAATCGAAAGATCATGCAAGACCACTCAAACGGCCTCAGTCCTGCAACTGTACGAATCAAATTCAACTAATTAATTGCCCCATGCCATGCCTTTGTTTTTGCTCCCAGCCTGTGCGCCAGGGCACTAGCTATCCAATTTCCTAAGGAATACTACATAACCATAATGCCATCTCTGGTTGCTGGTTCCCACCAGAACGCAATGGTCATTGGGTCCATCTTCATCAATGGTGCGTCAAACAATTAAAATGCTTGGAACCATCATCCAGATCTTGTATGGCTCTGTGGCCGGAACTCGAAACTCAAGCCGCATCTTAAAAGTTGCACTGCTTGTCGGCGCACAAATCTGCCGCTTCAGCTGGCAGGTCAAAAGCTGAAAATTTTTGCATCTGCGGTCTCAGTCACTGTCACCTGGCCCAGGCTCCTGATTTGGACTCATGACAAGCACTGCAGTTGTGTTGCCAACAGTACCTCTCTGAAAGGCAAGTGGAATCTTGCATCTGCGGTTAGCGTCCTCTTCAATTAGCTCCTTAATTTGCAAGACTCAGGAACTGATTGAACAACACCCAAAAAAAATCAAAAAATCCAAGACCCTTTTGCTGATGTTCTGCCCATGCAGTCTGTTGTTTTGACGCCGATCGATGCCAAGATTTCCATAGATTTCTAAGGTTGCAAGGCGACACGCTCAATCGAACCAACCCTCGATCAATCACAAGGCCACTATCCCCCAATAGATCCCAATAGCAGCCAAATGTCGTAGTTGACAGGGCAATCAATGCCAACACACTGCACCTTAGGGCAATGATTGCACCACAACGAGCCAATGCAGCAAGAATAAGCTCCGGTTTGCACCGATTTTTGTCAATTTTCGAGCCTTCGTCTTTCCGGAATTCATTGAAAAGTAGTAGGCATGGCTGGTCTTCCTTAGCAGAATGCATTGGATCCGAACCATCGAATTTTCATGAATTTTCAAGGCACCGAGGACTGGCCTAGGGCCTACGTCATGGATCGTCATGGTATGTGGTGGAACATGGTGATTACTTGTGCAAAAGGGATTAAAATTGCAGGGGAATTCTTCCTTCCTCATGGATGCTGAGACACGTAATCGGAGGAGCTGTCCAACCTTTTTCCCGAAGCTTCCTGAGAGCATCGAAGTCAAGAATCCAAGAAGCTCTCAGCTCGAATATCTCTGCATAATTCTGCTATTATTCTGCATTAAGTATCCTGATGTATTCATTTTAGAAACTTTAGTCACAGCCTGCATCAGCCTTCCCCGTCCAGTGATGCTAAGCAGCTCTGAGATGTAATTCAATCGTTTTGCCTCGCACTTGGGACATCTTGGGGCAATGGGTCCATGATGTCACATCACCACTTCAAACAGGATCGATTTCTACAAGCAGCCTGGTGGGTCCAGTCAGTCTTCTTGGGGCTTCACATCTGTTGTTGAAAAAAGAAGAGGTAGCCTTTTCACAAGCCAAGGGGCATTTGATCCAAAGTCAGCTTTGAGACCAATTCGCCCAGATGACCGCACTTGGACAGTACCGTCCTTGCAAGCCAAATATTGACAAACATGGACAAGCCAATTCTTGCACCATGTTGCACCATGTTGCATCAAGCATGGCTCGTACATGGATAGACTCGCGGAGTTTAGAGGTTTAGTGGACTGATACGGAATGCAAGCCCTGCATGCTTGTGCCAAGATATGCTATGTGCACTTCGCTTGCCAGTCCTGGCCAATTGCAAATTCAACATCATCCACTTTGCCTTTCCTCGGGTCCATGCGCAGTCAAAAGCAAACCCCAGACCCCTGAGAAACAAATCAAACCATGCAACCAATGCATCCAGGTGCTTCAGGCTCTCAAACTGCCCATAAAGGTAGCCATCGGCCGCCTTCACAACCTGGAAGCCACCTCCATCCACATTTTGCTGACCTGGAAATAGCGCAGTCAGGTGGCAGCATTTACATGTACTTATCTTGTACGCCAAAGTGGCATGTTGCGCAATATTGAAACGCATTTCCTGATATTTCCTGCATTTTCCTGTGCAGGCCTGGTGGATAAGCTCGAACTACTGCTTCAAGATCCGCAAAAGCATCTGCTGGGGTGTTCTTCGCTGGAATTTTCCAGGGCTGCAGCAAGGTTGTGATCTGGGGATCCTGCCCAAAAACTGGTCCCCCCGCACACTGCCCATGACATGCAATATGCACATCGGGACAAATCCCAACTTCCCAACAGAACAGTGTGCGGACTGGCCATCTGTATCCCTCTCTCTCGCTCATTTCCTGTCTTTGGCGACTGCTTCGACATGATCAAATGCTCCCTGTCTCAAGTGGCCTCCGGATCCCCAGTAGTTGAGAAGCAATTAGGACCATAGCCGCATCCTTTTAGCACCGCACCATCAGATTTATCACCAAACCGATTCCTGGGCAGCAAGTGATGGTATGGTGATGTGCCACAGCAAGAAGCTACACTATGCAACACTAGTATGAAGAAAAACTGAAGCAGCTGTCTATCCCTGAAATCCCTGAAGATAAACAGTGAGAACGTGCTGAAGAACCGCCTCAAGCTGCACATCATCTACATCGGCCATGCGTCAAAGTGCGCTCCTTCAAGCCCAAGTCGTCGGGCTTGTTGCCTGGTGTCCTTCTCTCTGAAAACTTCGAGACCTCTGGTAGCCTCGGCAAAACGCTAACGAAACGGGGACCACGTGGAAAAAAACAGCTTAATTGGTTTCTTGGACGTTGCCTGAACCGCTGAATCAGAATGACAACCAACTCTACATTGCAAAAAGCAGTAGGACCACACCTGTCCTAGATTCCGTGGGGCTACAAGCCAAAAGCCAAGTTTCAAAGTAACAAAAACAGGCACATTTCGGAGCGAGATGCGCGTTCTCAAACACAGCGCTTGCAGGAGAAGGCAGCAAGAACCATGCACCATGCAATATCTGCCGTCGACTGGCAGCACCTTCGGGGATACCCCTCAGTGAATCCATTTTTACGTCACTGTACCACCTTGTACCGTAACTGAGTGTTTGATGTGGTCAAATATTGACTTGCCGTTTTGGCCGCATCGCATTTGACATTACATAATCAGAAAATAAGAGAGGATGATACCGAAGGCCTTTCGTGTGGGTCCCACAAACCATGAATGACCTTTCTTGACTGGACCCCGGCTCTCTCATGCTCTCGCACCTGGCGGAGCAAGAAAGGCGGCCCGCATTAAAGGACAAAGCAGCAAGGCCAACAACCTCCACAGGTGGGACAATATGGGGCAAGGCTTGCTGCTTGCGCACATGGAGCTGATATCGCTGTGGACATTGTTGGACCGCTTCAAGATTTGAGATGCAAAGCACTTGAGGGTATAAGCTCTGTGCTTCCTCTCGTTATGGTGGTGGAGTAGCTGCAAAACTCTAGCTGCCTAAAGAATCATTCTAGCAAGTAAAGTTATTTTGCCCATGCAAAAGGTTTTCAGGTTACCCATGATTCTTCACTTGATATACAACTTTCCCTCTCAAAGTTCTTCCGGCTTTCCCTTAGATGAATGCTCTCTTGACGCGCAGCACCTGCATACTTGAAGTCTTGACCAAAAGTGGCGTTTCCCATGTGGCTTCATCACGCCAAAGAAGCGACAAGTCTTGTTACATAATTTCATCGCTCAACATGTTCATTGATGTTAACTTAAAGATCTCAGGACAAATAGGTCCCAGGTGAGGTCAAAGACTCTGCCGCTATCACGAGTCATGTCAGCAATCCCTGTAATACTTTGATTGCTGCTGCCTGGAATTAGAGTGCCACTGACCAGCTACAGTTAAGTACATCCCTCTCTGAGTCAGAAAATGTCAGAAGGCTTATGAAGGCTTTCTCAATTGGAAAATGGTTTCCCCGAGTTTCCCCATGGTTTCCCCACTCCTATGTCTTTGTGCTGAACAGCTGGGAGCCAAGGCCGGCAAATCACAGGTTCCACAGGTTCCTGCGCTGGGAGCCATTTTCGGTGCCGATCTGAGTTGGCGACAGAAATGGTCGTGCGGCATCCCATCCCTGCAAATGTGGACGAAACAGCCAAGGCCCTGAGAAAGTAGCCATGGAGAATGAAATGCCTGGGCAAATGGAGATGGAATGAGATGGAAACGAAGCTTTCATTCACATCTTTCTTTTCCTTCACAGTCCTTCCTACCTACAAGCCTCGTGTTGGATTACTATATGATACTATTGTGCATTTGTAGCAGATCCTGTTGTTGTGGATCAACCTGGGGCAACAAACAAACTCCATCATGGACCACCATATGGGTTTGTCAATGATGTACTCCTAAATCCCATGGCCAAGAATTTGTTGAGAACATCATTTTCTCATATTTTGGACCACCCAAATCCCATAATTTTACAATGTTGTCTCATATTTGCCCCTTTTGAAAATTGAACTCCACCGCTCTGTGCCCGAGCTGCCGAAGTCGTGTACCAAATGCGCCAGCGCTTGCACTTTGGCTTGCTCAGAGGCTGGAAAGATGCTGCTCAAATATGCGGCCGACACCGGCCGCGCGAAGGCCAGAAAGCCCGCAGAAAGATGGGGACCCACCAAGGCGAAAGGGGCAAAAGGTGCAAAAATCTGGGCCAAATGGATCAAGATCCCAGAGACCGAGGTAAAGGAGATGACAACCTCTGGACGTTTGCGACCTGCCAAGGGTCCAAGGAAACTGAGACTTCCCATGGAGATCATTTCGAAGGGCCAGGTCACTGCTTGCCAATCTCCGGGTTTCCAGTCATAGGCTGCCAAAGTAAAGGATGCATAGATGCTACCTTGCAGTATCCACTTGAGATGATCCAATGGGACATATGATGACCTCTGTCATAGTTGATCTTAGTTGTACAGTTGCCTATTACCAGGGTTTACTTGGACTCTGACCGTGACCTTTATATAAACACATTGGTGCAGGGCTTGATACTCAGGGGAAAAGAGAACAAAGAACTGTACCAGTGAAAACAACCAGCTGCCGAGACCTGCAGCCAGAGACTTGAAAAGCACAGCTGTTAGCCAAATCTGCAGAAAACGATTCGACACTAAATACCTCATCTGCACTGCTGTACTGGTCATCAACCTGGGCAGTGTAAGCTTCTGCGGCCGCGATTTGGCTTGCGCTGATGGAAGGGTTTCTGGGACACATACCAGCACCAAAAGCATCACACAAGCCATTCCTATGCTCATGGCCAACCACACAGCAGCGTAGTTTTGCAGTTGCCAACGGAGGATTCCCGCAGATAAATAGATCGCGATTGCATGCCCCAGCGCCCCCATGCCGTAGAGAACTGAAAAACATGTCACCTGATTGATGGTTTTTACCCAATACCAAAAAAGTTTTCATTAGAGATCATCATCCGAAATGATATGGCCGGGTGCATCTGCAAATTGGGTTCTCTAAAACACCATGGTTGATTATCATTTTCCTGACTGAACGGCCGTGAAAGATCAACCAAAACACAGTATCCAGCATCTACTGAAATTGTGTACCATGTTTCCCATATGTTTTCCGATGTTTCCCATCTATTTCCAATACATGGTTAAGAATTGAAAAGATACCTGCCAACCACCAAGCAGTCACCCGCTCAGTGGTCGTCTTGGCTAAGTCTGCCAGCACCGAGAGGAAGACCACATCAAAGGCACTTGTGCAGCCCTCGACCAAGAAGGACAAACTCATCAACTGAGCGCCGCTCCATCAGCATGGTAGAACAGAATGACATAGCCCCAAAAAAATACACACAATTGAATAGTAACTACCAAATACAGGATTGTGATGATGATGATGATGAGGAGGAGGAGGAGGAGTAGTATATACAGTATATACAGTCTGTACAGTATCTATAATATTATATATGTGATACTCTTATATTGGGGGCCCCGATTGCTTTCAAAATTGCAACCAAACAGGACGAAAACCAGGGTTCTACTTTACCAGGGAGTCATGGCACAACTAATAAAACCATCGCTGCAACCCAGTGACGCTTTGGGAACCATGCAGAACTGGGAGCCCTGCCACACTGGCAAAAATACAAAAGGCCACAGTAAAGCCTGCAAGGCCTGTAGGGAAGCAATGGGACACAGCAGCCGGTGGCCGGTGAACTTTTGATTGTTGGGCTTTGGACCTTGGAATTCTATGGGCATCTGTGCTGTCTAAATTCTTCCAGCAGCAAACGGTTTTGGCAAGCAAAAGCGCATCCCATTCCATCCATTGGTTACGGTAAGTAACGAGTTTTCCCTTTAAAATTACCATAAACTATATAATAGATAAATCATGATAAATCCCATACGGGCAACCCCACATATTGTCGATTAGATCAAAGTTATAGTTATATCCCACTAATTAACATATGAATATCCAATATCCATGATGATCATAATGTATATCCCGTCAGACCGCCATTGTGCCCAAATCCCCCATGAAATCATGGCCTAAAAGAAGCACCGGCCGTCGCCCAATGCTGTCCGCCAGCAATGCCAAGACTGGACCCGCGAAGGCGTGGACCAGCAGTTTCATGGCCACCAAACGGCCTTCCCGGGCTTGCGCCACGGATAGGACCTGCGCCACGGATCGGCCATCTGCGGCCATCTGGGCCCCAGGGCTTCACTATGCTTCACTATATCTCCAATTGTATCACCATTCAGAATCACCATTATATAGTGATATTATATGTGTGTATATTTAATTATCTATACACACACACATATATATATGTGTGTGTGTGTAAATTGTGTAACATCTGCACAAATGTAAAACTTCTACTCTTGCAGGGCCCATGGGCACTTGGATGGCATGGGCCAACGAAGGCTCATCCAAGTTGCTGTGCAAACGTACCTGCAATTTTATTTTCCGATCGACATGGCACGGGGCTAAGCCGAGAACCCCTCCACGAAAAGTCTTGCTTAATTGCATGTTATGGGATTCAGTTCCTGACGGATCACTACAATGATCCAGTTCTTGTTTGTGTTAGTGTGTGTGTGTGTGTTACATATCCTTTAGGCCTAATTATAGAAATAATCTAAATGGATCATTGATGATCATTGGATATAGAACCAGTCCAACCAAGACACCAAATTAGCATCTCCACAGTGGGCGGACCCGGTGAAGACAGTAGGCTCCATTTCGGTTGCGCACTTTACCATCGAGCGAAGAAATGGACCATAAAGCTGCACGGCCAACATAAACCTCAAGGCTACGGCGCTTTACCATGCTTTACCTAATCTTGGGCATGGTTGTAAGGACCATTCCCTACGGTCCTGTTGCAAAGATTTCAACCTTTGTGCCCAACTTGTGCTGTCTCAGCCTCACCATTTTCACCACAATTGCACATATTTCACCATCTTTCATCGTGTTTCACCATATCTTTACCCCAGAAATCCATAGAATTCCTACAGCTGAAATCAGCTGAATGCTGCGGCGTGACAAAATGCTCAGCAGCCCATAGGGAAGGAAAATGTGCCATACAGGGCGAAGCTGAAGCAGCACTCTGCGGGGTCCAAACCTTCCATCGTCCACCAGGAGTTGACTCATTGCCTGAAGCAAAACAGATGTCACACTGGAAATCACTGGAACTCTTATGGGATTAACCACAGAGGTTTCACAGAATTCAATGCAAACATGAGATTCGATTGAAAATCCCAACCACCAACAGGTTATGAGAGTCTGTAAAATGCCAGGCATATCAAAAAAAACACCTCAGGCTTAATTTGGGTCCAGCAAGACACATGAAGCTTCCAGCGGCAGGGGAATCTTCAGCCGCCACTGAACGTGCATGGCCCAGCATTTTTGCCCTGCAGTTGAATACCATGATCTGTGCTGTGAATTTACGACAGTATGATTTAGGAGACATTTAATTTGAAGTCAAAATCCCTGCTGGGCAGAATGCACCTTCACGATTCCTTTGATCCGCTTCCATCCATACTATTAGTAGTAGCAGCAAAAAGAAGTGCCTTCACAATATCTGGATTTTTCACTGATGCCATTAATGCCTGGCGTGGTGTTCACGCAGGTCCAACTAATGAGCCCGAAGCAGTGCATAAGAAACTAAAAGGATACGAAACGACCGTTCTGCATTTGCAAGCTGCTCCGTTTTGGTGGTAACATAGAAGTTTTGTAAAAACTTACTACAACTTGATGGATCAGCCAAGAAAGAGCGCAACATTACTCGCAAATCGAATCTAGAGCTGCTTTGATAAGGCGTGCTGGCAGCTTGATTCCCTCTTTCCCATCATTCTCTTGCTTTCTATTGGAAGGCTTCTCAGAACATAGCCTCCGAAGGTCGAAGCACAAAAATACGGCACAAGTAAGAACATACCCTCTGGTAATTTAACATAGCTATTGAAAATGGCCATTTATAGTGGATTTTCCCATTAAAAATGGTGATTTTCCATAGTTATGTTAAATTACCAGAGGGTATATTATATAATATTATGTAAGTATGGAGCCATGACACAAATCAGCTCACAGCTCAGCAATCCATTGCGGGAAGCTTCCGATACGATGTGCACGCAACGTCCGTTATTTTCCACCACAGCTGATGAGCTGAAACTCCAGGCCTGGTACAACAAGGCACTGTGGTATGAACCCAAGAGCTGTGGTATGAATCCACTGTGGTATGAGAATGTCACTGCAAGTCACTGCCAAATAACGACCGCAAGGAAATTGCAAATGATAATCTTCTTGAAACATGTTGAAACTGACCGTCTTTTCAAGGATCCAAGAGTGAAAGAAAAAAATGGTGATGATGCTGCGATGGGACAAATAGGAGCAAGTGAGCATGAACAACACTGGGCTGGAATTGATTGGAATTGACTACTAGCTTCCAGACTAGCTTTCAGGGGCAGGCTGATACAGAATAAAGTGCATTGTCTCATGATGTCTTGAAGCAGCCACAGCAAATGGACCATCATTTTGGATCATTCCTGCATCACATCACAGAAGCTCATTCAGTGCTTTCGCTGTTCGAAGTGCTTCAAGCTCCATCTGATGTTTCTCTTGCCGCTGCGCCCGGCTTTCGGCTTCTAATCTGCACAGCTTCTCCAACTTTGGCGATGAATCTACAGCCAGGGATCGTTCCAAGCCTTTCACATGTGCTACGAGTTTTTCCAGGCTTTGCTGATCCATCTTTTCAGCCTGCTGCTGCCGGGAGGTGGCGCTCGCAAGCGTATCCTTAGCGAGGCAGGCACACAAATGAACCATAATGAACCCAACGCTAAGAGATATGATGGTATTGTACTGATATATATATAATATTATATATATTGATAATTATATATATATTGATATATATTGATATATTGTACATTAGTGATAAAGACTTGGTGCCATACCAATCCTGCGGGTTTGGCTGCAGCCAGCAACTTTTTTGCATCAATTTTGATAGCTACTACCATCAAAGCATGTAGTACTTTGGATATCACCTGTGCACGTGGGCCCAGCTTCCTCCAGCTCTTCTTGCGCATGGTGCATGGTCGTTTGCAGCTGCCCCAGAACGCTGTGCAGCTCCTTAAGTATTAAGGTGAATTCTTTATCCCTTCATGATCTTTTATGATATGTGGTGGATGGTTTACAAATTTTAACCTTCTCTATCCTGGTGAAAGGCAATTGCATCATTGTATCCTTTCAACCTCCTGCCCCCTAGTATCAAAATCCACGCCATGGAAACATTAAACCGTTTGATTGAACCTCAAAAAATGCAGAGATCCCTCATATTAATCCAATACTAAACCATAAACCAATGTTTCAAGATTGGATGGGATTGCCCTCACAGCTCAAGCTCCTCCGCAGCGTTGTGTGCGTTCTTAGTGGCCTCCAATTGAACCAGCTGCGCTTCCAAACGCTGAAGCCTCATACGTGGTCAGGAACTGGGAGGTGTGTCACAACTGTCTTCTATGAGGCTATGAGGGAAACATGTATTATATATATAAATATATATATATGTATATTGAAATATATATATACATCTCAAAGTGTCATATGAAACAGATACTGTCTCGCGCTCCCGCAGCTTTCTTTTTCCACAGCTATGCCTATGCTCAGTCAATTTCACCTGCAATCCTCAGGTTTGCTTTGGGTTGTCACGATGTGACACGTACATAGCCCCAGACCAGTTTCGCCACTGGTCAGCTGCCTGGCAACCCAGGCTGGAACCTGCTCTGCAGGAATCACCCATCCCTTAAACCTAAGGGAAGGAAAAACTCTATTGGTCGCCCCAAGAGAGGATCCCCGATAGAGGCTATGGACTCGCCTGCCGTGCAGGCTCCCCTAACCTAGGCGGACATCTCCACGGGAGGTCGGCTCTTAGGGTTGGGAGGGTGGGGAAAGAAAACAGCAATGAATGCTATTTTGGTTCAAGTTTACTTGAGCCAAAATGGTAGCATTCATTGAAACACTTAAAGATGATACATGCACACCCAAGCCTGCCAAACTCAATGCATGGGTACATCTCAAAGTGTCATATGAAACAGATACTGTCTCGCGCTCCCGCAGCTTTCTTTTTCCACAGCTATGCCTATGCTCAGTCAATTTCACCTGCAATCCTCAGGTTTGCTTTGGGTTGTCACGATGTGACACGTACATAGCCCCAGACCAGTTTCGCCACTGGTCAGCTGCCTGGCAACCCAGGCTGGAACCTGCTCTGCAGGAATCACCCAATGCACTCAATTCCCAAAGCACTAAAGGTATTCGAAGGTGAGAATGACAGCTGCAAAGGGTAGCTGGAACAAGATTGTAGGGAGGTACGACGAGTAAAATTCAAAACCATGGCATCGCCACCATGGATCATCGACGCCAAGTCGGCTGATATCGTCAGCCCAGTTGCTCTTGCTCTGGACGTACTCCCAATATCCTTGGGCTCGCAGTGCAAACAGAGCTAGATGGATCAAATGACCTAGCTTCGCTAAGTCGGCATTGCTAGAACGTCCTCTCACTAGCGTCATGACGGCTGCTACGTTGTCCAAAAACCATAGGCCGTGTCGGTTTCGAAACAGATCAGGCCTTTCGACAAGGGCGTAGAGCACCATAGATAGTTCCAATTGGGCGATATGCGTCTCTGCAGGTTGCCAAAGTGTTCGGAGCTCTGCACAGTTGGTCGCGACAAAACTGTGACGAATTTGTGATCCGTCAGGCTGGAAAAAGATCAGATGAAAACCTCCTGAACCAGGATTGTCTGCTTCGACAGCTGCGTCGGAGGCTGCCAAAAAGCGCAGATGATCCAGGTGCAGAACGGGAAATTCCCGTTTTGGCTGAAAGCGCATAACCGCTTCGATCACCTCGAAGCATGCTTCAATCTCGGGAGTGATGGTCGAGGTTGCCTCGTCTTGCCTGGCTTTGATGGCCATGAGGCCGCCATATCCCACTCGACCGTAGATTCCCTGTTCCAGGAAATTGGCCAAGCCGTACAGCTTCGATGCTGCCCCTCGGCTAAAATGGCCAGTCACCCTGGCTGTTGCCAACATGTCACGTACTTTGTCATGGAGCCGTTCTCGAGCCCAAAACTGTACATGCCCTGTTTGGTTGATGGAGCTGAGATCATGAGTCAATCCCAAAAAGGTTCCGGTGCTCTGCATTGGTTGTTTCTTGTCCTCTGCGAAGGGGGAGCCGATAAGAGAACACAATTGATTCATGGCCCATTGGCCTGACCCTTTTGAGGATTGCAAGTCTGTAATGGTCGCATCATCAAAGTACAGGGATGTCAAAACTCGGCAAAAACGCCTGGCTAGTGCCTCCAATAGTCTGGAAAAACGGTTGAATGATGTAACCGCAAGCGGCAGTCCGAAGAGTAGCCCAGCGTAGACTTGGTATGCAGGGGTTTGCCATTCGTGATGGTACCACACCACCACGCAGCCCAGACTTTCCTGCAATGCCATAGGGCAATACCTGTATGCTGAAGGCAGATCTTCTTGTCCTGTTTCCCAAGCATCGTTCGCGAAGAAATCGGCTATCTCATCCTCTGTCCAACGATGCATTGCAAGGCGAATGTGCTGGGCAGGACGCAATGGACTGCACAATGTGAGCTTGTTAGCATCAGACGACAAGGCTGATTGTCCTCCGGTGTCCCCATTGTCGATCACACGCTGCTTGCCTGAGCTCTGTGTGATCACGCAACGCGGGATCAATCGATGGGCCTTGTTGCCAATGGCCCGCAGGAAATCTGTCCGTCGCAAGGGCTCTGTGCAGAAACCATTCGCTGCGTCCTCCAATGACTGCTGCAGGAGGAACTCATCATCCTTGCCTGCTCTCAGCTGGCCCAAGATGTGCTGATTGTGTTCCTGCCATCCCTCCAACACATCTGCCATGCTGATCACCTCAGCTGGCTGTTGGGGGAATATCCCATAAGGTGGTGCGTAGCCCACTGCAGGCAGCCCACGGATCAGACCATAGGGAAAGCTGGTGTCTGCCCATGATGTCAGCAGCATCAGCAATGCGATGAGCCCCACATCGCGGTGCCGTGTTACCTGCTGGATAGCCGGCTCTTGGAAGGATCGCAAGTGGAGGGTCACCCCCTCCCAGCGTCTCTTCAGCTCTCGCATGGCCCCGACTGCCTGCTGTCGCCACGGGCGCAACTGCTGGCCATGTGCCCCATAGGCATCTGCTACGAACTCCAGGTCTAAGTCGACGACTGGGAGGTCTTCGTAGGGCAACGGGTGCTGGGCTCGTTGGACTGCTTGGTTGAAGTGGTCCTCAGGATCCAAGTTGAACGGCAGCAGTGGGGGCAAAGCGGCACGGTGTGTCATCGCACCCACTTGGCACCCGTCCCCAATCCGTGCAAGCTGCCTCACTGACCCGGCAGCCAGATGCGGGACTAGGGGCCCGTCCCAAGCTTCTCCTCGCTCTGCAAGCCAAGTGGCATATGAGCAAAAGGGCGGGCTGTTGATGAGGTCTTCAATCATTGCAAACTTGTAGTTCTTGAACCAGTGCTCGGGGAAAAGCTTTTGGAATGCCAATACCAGTGCTTCTTGGCTCATCATGGGTAGGGCTACCCCCCTGGGAATAGCCTGGATCCCTTGCAACAATGCCACAGTCCTACTCCATCGGCCATCGGTGCCCCGCTGCATTGGGTCACCCCCAGGGGCGGTGGCATCGAAGAAGAGGCCAATGAGCATGTCCGCTTCGCACAGGTGCTCCATGGGGCAGTCGCACGCCAGCTCCATATTGCTAAGCTCATGCAAGGCGTCCCACAAAGGTGTTGTTCGAATATGGACAATGTACCTGGCCGGCCATTCACCGGCTTCGCAGTTGTGGCCCGGTGTCCATGGCGATTTCCACTTGGTCGTCGATAGGCGATGATGAAAGCTGCCTCGGCCGACGTAGATGGTCTTGCGTGGTAGCTTGTTGTTCTCGATCATCACCTCCTTGACGAGCCTTCGGACCGGTAACCCCGATCGTTCAGCCCTCAAGGATTCTGTGAGGCCCAGCGTCACCGCCAGTGGTGCCATTGCCCACTCATTGCGCGCGGGTCCATATCCAGCCAATGTTCACGGCGTCCGACTGACATGAACGTGGGCATGCGTGGGACATGCAGGACGGCTAGACCTGTGCGGACTGCCCACCAACTAGCCGACACTGCAATGGCAAAGGCAAGGGCTGCTGTGTACTCTGCCTCTTCTTTGGATGGGTAGAACCGCTGGCCGTCGGAGGTGTAGGGGGTCCATTCCTGTGGGTCGTGCACATGGTGGCAATTGGCTGGGGGCCAGCGTTGGATCTCCTCCACATTGTGTCGTAGCACTTGATGCTTGCAACGCGCCCCACCCAAAGTACATGCCGCGTAGGCTGTGTCGAACCATTGTCCCGATTCCCACATAGTCACCTCTGTGGACGTCCACCAGTGCAAGGAGCGGGCAGGGTTTTCACGCACACTGCCTCCCCCCCTATCCCGCAACTTCTGAATTTCGCCCAAGACATAGTTGCAGGCTTTGTTGTCAAGGTCGACTCTTTGGGCATCCCGGCTGTTGAGGTGAGGCAGGCCATCAGGGTAGACCTCGGATCGAAGAGGACCAGGGGCTGGCCGCCCGTCTTCAAACTTCCTGGGGATCTCCCTGGCCCTGCTCTTTGTCGAACAGTCGATAGCTGCCGCTATGAAGATCACCTCTTCAAGCTGTTTGCTCAGGGAGTGTTGCCGGCGCTCATCTGACAGGTCATGGCTGTCATCCAACAACCAATCCACTGTAATGCATTGCCACCCGCAACTGATGAATGCTTTGGTGAGGGGTGCGTTGGGACCTGCCATGAGATCTGCCATAAGAGGTCGCCCCTCTTGCGGCTCTAGCTCATCTGACCCAAAAGAGGCAGCCGCCTCCTCTTCTGGGGCGTGTCAACGCTTACCAGTGCAATTGGCTGCACCGTGGTTGAACGCTCCACATACCCGATCTTTTCTGACAACTGCTCCGCATCGATGGGCTCCCTGAGGACATGGTTTGGCCTTACAGCCGCCTCGTTGAAATTGCGGGCAAAGTTTGGTACCATCCTTC